GTGACTGGTGATTTGTTTTAAGTTTGTGAAAGGCTTCAGCTCCTGTTCAGGTGCCGTCAGCTGAATCTTTAAGAGTGTAGGAAACCTGGAGGGACATAGAGCTGGAGCTGTAGTTAACCCAGTGAGGTTAAATTGTTCTCCCAGAGCGGCTGTACTGTTCCACTTCTCCACTCTACTCAGCAGGTCCGGAGGAAGTGGCTCCTAATGCACTTTATTAAATCATATGTTCTTTGTTGCCTTACAGATTAAAGCTCTCTGTGTGCAAACTGCATAGTTCAGCCTGCCCCCCTCCCATTTATATTCCTTACCAGCTTTTTCCTGTTCATTGTCAAGGGAGCACTGGAGCATATCCCAGCATGCATTGGATTGAAGGTAGGGAGACACCTTGGACAGCCTTCCAGTCTATCACAGAGTCTCCAATCCAGATTGAGCTACAGGAGGAAACTTCAAAAACTGAACATCAGTCCTTCTTCATCAGCAACAATGCAACAATATGAACATGTGGTAGAAATACAAGATGCAGAGAGGTAGTTTTGTCTTGTGTCATGTCTTGTATTTAGGCCAGTTGCAGGATAACAGATTTAACATGGCAGTTTTCTGCCCAATACAGGTTTGGGAGCTTTAATCCGGCACAGTATGGAAATACACTATTTGTACACAGAAACCCTTTGGATATCAGATACAACTCAGGCATAAACCAAAATCTAGGACTGATACATGGCCAGATGTCAAGCAAAACAAATCCCAATTACCCCTCCCACCTCTGCAATGATAAACACACACACACACACACACACACAAAAACACAGCAGCCGGGGCAGGAACAAGCGCTGGAACAAGAGATGAATCAGGGACAGATTATTCAGGACACAGTCACAGGGGAGAGAGAGCTCCAGAGGAGAGCAAGGACTTGACCTTTTCTGAATATTCATGATGAGAGAGATGTAAACCTTTTCTGAGACCTAAAACCTTTGTGGAACCCAATAACAGAAGGCAGCTTGTAATTCAGGGCAAAAATAAATATATCTAGCAGGAGTAACATCAGGATATGTTGGCGGTCTGCCAGCCAGGAGGATCAATAGCCATTAACACCATCATGCATGCAGTCAGAGGACAGCAGGGGTCTGTGGCTCTGCAGAGTATTTCATCATGATGGGAGATGGATTGGAGCTTTAGTTACAGTTAGAACATCCCCTCTCCTCGCTGCTGAGAGCGATGCTTTCTGACTGACAATGTCATCAGTGTGCTGTGTATGTAAACACATCCAGCAGCCTGGAGAATCTAGGTCATTTTCTGGCTGGGATGAGATGAGAGGAGGAGCCGTCTGGAGGCACACCAAGCCACAAACGTGTGCTGCGTTCATGTGTCAAGAGTCAGGCCGTAATCCACATGCACCTCTTTTATCTGCTTCATGAATCAAGTGAACGTGCCTCCAGTGGTGATGAAATCTGCTGAGAAACACAGGTAGTGAAGCGGAGAGGAGGAGGAGGAGGAGGACGAGGAGGAGGAGGAGGAAGAGGAGGAGGAGGAGTGGTGAACGCATGTAATCTCTTGCACCAGTTCTCTTTGCTTTAGCACTGAGGACACATTGTTCATTAAAAATCCAAGCCTTCAGTCTTCCGGATACACAAAGCTCTGCGTCGCAATATTGACACTGGCTCGCATAAACACCATGAACCAATGCAACCATGTGGCACGAATCATACACTGGCTCTGGAACATCATGTGCTACATATACAGAGATATGCTGAGAGAGATTTTTTATTGTGTCATTTCCAATCTGTCCTTAAAAGGGGTCTGCATAGTAAAAAAAAAAGGGTTTTACAGGGGCATTAAACTGTCAGTGCATGTAACTGAATGTCTTCTCTCGAATCCATTTAAAAATCAATGAATTCTTTAAAATGTGTCTCAAACTCAGGCGAGGCTGTCCTTAAGCACAGCAGTAGGCTACTTTGAGCTAAATGCTAACACCAGCAGGGTAATATTCTCATAATAATAATGCTATGCTGATGTTTGGCAGTAGCTTGAAAGGTTTTATCAAATTCACCATCTTAGTTTAGCCTGTTAGCATTTTAACAGATGCTAATTAACACAAAACAACATAACAACCTACAGTCGAGGCCAACAGGAGTGATTTTTACAGGTATTTGACGATATAACAAAGTACTGGAGAACAAATTCTAAATTGGTGCTAGATGAAAAGTCATCAAAGGTCGTGTAATTCATTCCAATGAAATTTTCGACCAGAGTTCATGACAAACCATCCAATAGCTGTCAGGATGTGTCAGTAAAAAAACAAAAATATCAATCTCATAGTGGCACTAGTCAAAGGATCAACTAAGTCACAAGGATTCCTCCTCTGGGAACATGAATGTCTGTGCAAACTTAAATGGCAGTCCATCCATTCCTAGAGCCAGGCTGCCATCATGGCTAAATATCCAATATTCCAATAAAGCAGTCCTGCATTGATTTGCAAATATACTGACAATTGCCGCATACATTCAGAGATATTAAAGGTGGCGTCAGTCATTCTGGACAAAGATAGTTGATCATTGAATCTCCCCGGGAGCATGAATGCCTATTGCGTGACTCTCTCCGAGCCATTTGGTTGTTTCTCCATTTACCAAAACTATAATAAGTGTCGGTACTTCTGAAAATCTCTGAGAGCTGGCTAATTTACATCGTCTCATGACATATAGTGTCACATCTGTGAGCCTTAATGAGGCATTTTATTGAGCAACGGCTCAAGGAGAATACTTTTTTTTTATTGAAGAATTAGAGTCTCAGTCTTTCAGAGTCGTTGAAGCAAAATGGTCACCCTTTCCCCAATAAATTACACAGAGGCAACATATTTTCAGTCCTTTAATAGCTTAACTGGAGCTGCTCTCTATCACCTTCTCATTGTAATAGTCCATAGGGTCATGTGGGTGTGGGTTCGAGAGGTAATTTTTCTACAGCATCACTTCATCTACCCTTTTGACTCTTCCTCATGCCTTCAGATCCAGGTGATAAGAGATGGTTAACAGTGGATGATTTATTTCCAGTACAATGTGCGACATAGCACTGAATTCCTCCACTTTCACCTTCTTCTGTCATGAATGCTTTTGCCAACAGCTGAGCCAGTTAGAGTTTCTCGCTTATGTTTATTCAGTGACTTTCCATTAAAGGGTTCATAGCAGCCTATTTTTAAATTTGTAAGAATGATGCAAAAAAGGTTCCATCAGAAGGACTTAACACCGAGCTGCTGCACAAAATAGAGCTTTTGAAATGTCACAAAAAAGGTATTAACATAGCACTTCTAAAAACAACATGACAAAGCATCATAAATACAAACTAAAAGAAACGATGTCGCTGTTGTGTATGACAACATGTAAATGTTACAAATTTGGCCAAGAAAAAAGGAAATATAACGCACAGGAGTTTCAAGAGCAAAAATGTAATCACTAAAAAAGGCACCAAAACTAAATCTCCTGGTCATAAATTTAAAATGACCTGTTATAATGGCAGTCCTACAGCTGAGATGTTGTTACTCTGAACAACACAGGCATTAAAAAAAATCTGAAATCACAGGCTCCACTGCAGCAGTGTCTCATTAGTGGGATATAATGAGAATATAATGAGGATTTAAAGCTCCAGACCAAACTCACCTGATGGTTACACAAACCTTTTGTTCCTGGTAACAGCATGAAGCAGACGTCTCGGACACCATATGCTGCTATTAAGGCTTTAATCGTCCAGGAGCAGGTGGGCAGATTGTGGGTGACATTACCGTCTGTCTCGATGGCAGGAGGAGAGGCGACAGCGATGGTAGCTCTGGTTTACAGTTGACACTAGTCAGCTGCATAATGTTCACAGGGAGGTAGTTCAGCACATGGACCGAGCCTCTGACCACTGAGGAGGAAAGTATCTCACCACACAATGTAGAGATTGAAACACACCGAATGATGCTGGTTACAATTTACAATTTTATAACCCTTCCATTAGATAGATAGACATCAGATAAAGGCAACAATGATATCTGACCCAGACATTATTTACTTACCTGACAGTAATTAGTTCATTTTAACAATTTATATCAAAAAGACTTGATCATAGCCAGATTAACAATTTAACTCCTCACTGTTTACATCCATCCATCTCTTAATAACAGGTAAACACACTGACCATTTGTACAAACACTGCAGCTCATTCATTCTCTCACAGTCAGAGAGCTTAAATCAAATCATCAAAAGTAAACCAAAACCAACCAGTCAACTATCCATCATAAAGAAAAATATAATATAAGAACACATTCTATTCTTTGAAAAGAGTCAACACGGTGAACCATAAATTATAGTCTTAAGGATTGGCTGCCTCTGCTGAAGTCAGTAATGACGACAACATTTTAATTACTTTCAAAATCGTCTTTATTAAATTTAGAAAACACCATTTTGTTAACAGTTTCATAGCAATAGCAGGAAAGGACTGAAACTGTAAGAGAGAGAGAGAGAGACGTAGATGGGGCCTGGGCCAACCCCTGAGTTAAAAACCGGCTGTGTTTTGGAGCTCATACGTCCCTACGCGTCTTCTCTCTGGGGTCACCTGCATCTAACCTGGCATAGACTAGAAGAGAGAGTCAATGTGGGAGTCAACAACATCTCAAGGTAGAACGCCTAAAGAAACCAGACATAAGAAAAACTTTGTAGACATCAGGTAGAAAAGTTGATTTGCAAAGTCACTTTTCAAGTCAAGGTATTTCCTGCCAAAATATACCGAGTATGCAACATTAACATGTAATTAGGTTGCCAAACCGTATCGGTATGTAGGTTTAATCACTTAGGGAGTGGTTTCTGCACAGCTTTAGGGGAGGTGGGCTTTTGGGGGGGGTTACTTAGGGATGCAGTACAGATGTTGTCCAAAGAGGAAGTGCAAACAATGTCTATAAGGAGTGTTTGTTGAGGGGGGTTAGGTGGGCGAGGGGTTACGGGGGTATGAGCAAGGGCTCCCCCCCCCTTTACTCATCAAGGTGCTGAGAGTGGCGACTCTCTGGAGGGTGAGCCCGAGAGATCCTCTGGGGGAAAAACTGTGAGTGTGCAGGCTCGGATCCCGCCCAGCGACTCGGGTAAGTCAAACACTTTGTGCCATTCGTCTTTCTCTGGGTCGTACTTCTGTACTATTTCCACCATGCAGCGATTGTTCCACGAGTAGCCACCCACCACATAGATCTTATTCTCAAACACGGCCACGCCCACGTCGCTCTGGCCCCGCAACATGGCAGCGATAGGTGTCCACAAGTCGAGGGCGGGGGAGTAGTATTCGCAGCTCAGCACGTCGTCGTAGTCGCTGGTGCCCCGGAAGTGATTTCCCCCGATAACGTAAAGCCGGTCGCCCACAGTGCACATGCAGTGGAGGCCGCGCACTGTCGTCATAGGTGCTTTCTGAGTCCATTTATCCGCATCTGGGTCGAAGCACATCAATTCCTTCTGAAAAGTGTCATGAGTGATTCCCCCTGCAGCAAGAGGAAAAAGAGAGAGCAAATTAGCCTCGTCACACATCATTTGGGGGAGGAAAACAGCTTTGTAGGCTTGTCAATCAGACCGATCTGTGACTCATTCGCCCATGTCAACCTACATTTTCATTTATCTAGGCCACGACCAGCCATAACACTGGAAAGGCTGGAAGTCACATTTGCTTCAGTGGCGTTACGAAGAACGAGAATCGGGATAAAGGCTGTACATCTCTCCTCATCTCACCTTTCCCCGCTCCCCTTTTCTCAAACCTCAACTCGAACTCGACAACCAGCACACAGGGTAAAACGTAAATTGTACAAACTAGTGACATCGATATTTGTTCAGCCTCTTTTCTGCACAACGCTGACAACGAGCACTCAGTACAAAGAGGAACAACATTACAAAACATTCATGCGCATACGCACAAACAGACTGTAGACGACGGGACACAAAAAGCTGAGGGAAAGTGGGGAGGAAAAAAAAAACAAAAAAAAAAAAACAGGACATGTCTACAGGGAAGGCTTAAAATAAAGAGGAACACAATCCCAGCATGCATTTGGGTAGAAGCCAGCCCACCCCTCCCCCCAAGGCAGAGTGACTAGGAGCTAATGCAGTGAAGATTTGCAGAGCATGCCGAATAGAGGCAGAATCCCTCTTTTGCTGCTGCCCAGTGATCGTGTGCTCGGTGTATTGTTGAGGCCTAAGCTGTCTATTCAGCTGCCATGACTCAGATCTGTGATGCTGCACCTCCTTAACTGATCAAATCCAAAGATAGCCTGACTATCCATTTTCTTTATCCAAGTAGTCCACGGGGCAAGTCTGCTATTAAAATCCTGACAAGGGAACAGTGGTGGAGTCGACGTAAGGTCCTTCTAATTCCTCTCAAGAGGCCCTGCTGCTATTCTGATTCAATTCAAGGGCTTTGGCCTTTTCCCGGATACAATGATGTCTGATCAGTATCCCGGTATCCTAATGTCTAATCAGTGCCATTAGTGAGACACTAAGAGGAGCAAATCTCAGAGAGACGGGCTAAAAGCTTTTGCCCTTCCACAGACAGCACAGGACAAATTGGGGTATCGTTTGTATTGTCTGCTACATATGCCACATAAAAAACATTCAGCATTGTAGATATAAAACAGAGTCCCCTTGTAAAACCAGTGACCTGCTGGGTTGGTTAAATTAGTGCCGGCACAAGAGGGACCTAAAGAAAAGATGGCGAATAGATAAAGAGGTGAGGCAGGAAAAGGGGGCTCAGCATATTCCAAAAATAGCCCGTAATGATAAAGAGGGTCCGGATATGAGCTCCGGTACAAATAACAACCTGTGCTTGTTCAGTCGAATCCCTCAAGGATGCACATTGAGACACAACCAAGCTTAAGTGTGAACTGATCATTTTTTCTATAAGATGGCTCAGAACTTATGAGTCAACAGTGAGTCCTGTATTGATTAGAAATGCCACTAAAAATTCCTGGGTTTCTCTTTTTACTTCCAGCTCAAAACTATACTTTTTATTTATGGTCCCCATTCAGGTAAGATATATTCAGTAACTTGCATTTCTCCACTGACCACAGGCACACTCTTGAAGTCATAAGGTCAGATTCCTGCAGGGACTGATTGAAATGTCAAAAGGTTGTAAAATTAATCTGAGATCTTACAATCAAACACATTTCAGTTGTTTCTAAAATCACGCATTTACTACTCCCTACACAATAATTTACCCTCTATACTATAATTTACTCTCTATACTGAGCAGCAAATTTAAATTTCATGCACTTAATGAATCATCGTCATTTCTGGATGAATGTTGAATCACACAACGGTAATTTTCACATCTATTAAATTGAACACACTGCATAGTGGGATTGTATCTCAACACTAGATTTTTCATTCCAGTGATCAAATGGGGAGAATGCTTGCAGGTATTACAGATCACCACCCTTTTCTGCATAAAACAATCCAATTAAGAACCACTGCGATGTGGCCATTTCAGCTAAAAATCAAACGCTGACCTTAACAAACCAGCTTTCTTGCGAATACATTTCAAGCTTCCACACCAAGTTGGCTTCTAAGACAGCCCTTACTTGGGTTGTGGATCAACCTCAACACTAATGTAATTCTCTGCAAATCATTTGTAACTTTAAACCTAAGTTATGAAGCTTACGCAGCACATGGCCTGGAGGAAAATTCAGGGCGAAAAAACAAAAAACCCTCCCATGAGAACGTTCACATACCAGTCACATTTATCAACTCTACGTGTACCTTCTACCAAAGATCCAACCACAGCTAGTCACATATGTATAATGATGATAATGAAAAGTTTAAAAAGAAAAAAAGAATATGGTGTATGATGTCACTATATATATATATATAGATATTTTTTTTTTTTTTTTTCATGCAGTCAGAACAGTGGGATC